GGGAAAGCAGTATGGAGTTTCCTCAAAAAGTTAACAATAGGGGCGCCTGGGTGGCGCAGTCGGTTAAGCGTCCGACTTCAGCCAGGTCACGATCTCGCGGTCCGGGAGTTCGAGCCCCGCGTCGGGCTCTGGGCTGATGGCTCGGAGCCTGGAGCCTGTTTCCGATTCTGTGTCTCCCTCTCTCTCTGCCCCTCCCCCGTTCATGCTCTGTCTCTCTCTGTCCCAAAAATAAATAAACGTTGAAAAAAAAAATTAAAATAAAAAAAAAAAGTTAACAATAGAACTACCTTATGATCCAGTAATTGTACTATTGGTACCCAAAAAGTACAAAAACACTAATTTAAAGGGATAGTATACCCGATGTTTATAGCAGCATTATTTACAATAGGCAAGATAGGGAAGCAACCCCAGTGTCTATCAATTGATGAATGGATAAAGATGTAATACAAACATACACGCAATGGGATATCATTAAACCATAAAAAAAAGAATGAAATCTTGCCATTTGCAATGACATATATAGACCTAGAGAGTATAATGCTAAGTGAAATAAGAGAAAGACAAATAGCATATGATTTTACATGATTTTATTCATGTGTGGAATTTAAGAAATAAATCAGCCAAGGGAAAAAAAAATACAAATCAAGAAACAGAGTCTTTAAATTATAGGGAACAAACTCATCGTTACCAGAAGGGTGGTGGGTGAGGGGACAGATTAAATAGATGATGGGGAATAAGGAGTGCACTTGTCCTGAAGAGCACCAGTTGATATATGGAACTGTTGAATCACTGTATTATACACCTAAAACTAAGATAACACTGTGTTAACTAACTGGGATTAAAATAAAAACTTAAAAACCACTCAGCAGAATCTAAGGATCCAGGTATTTAGATAGATATCAGCTGCCACCATGATAATTTAAGCAAAAAGGAAGACAACTAGAAGTTCTATAAAAATATATGTATCGTGTGTATATATATTATCTGAGTGGTGGGATTATAAGAATTTTTGATTTTGTTCATCCTTTTCCTAAAATAAACATGGATTACTTTTCTAAGAGTCCAGTGAAACTATTATCTCCCAAAATTAGAGCAAATATTTTTATTAATACTGCCCAAGCTTACATTTTTAAAATTTTTAAATTTTTTTAAATATTTTTATATTTTATTTTTATTTTTTAATGTTTATTTTTGAAAGAGAGATAGAATGTGAGTGGGGGAGGGGCAGAGGGGGATTACGGACTAGAAGCAGGCTCCAGGCTCTGCACTGTCAGCACAGAGCCCGACTTGGGGCTCGAACTCACAAACCGTTAGATCGTGACCTGAGCCGAAGTCAGATGCTTAACCAACTGAGCCACCCCGGCACCCCATTTTTTTATTTTTGAGAGAGAGAGTGAGCAGGGGAGGGGCAGAGAGAGAGGGAGACACAGAATCTGAAGCAGGCTCCAGGCTCCACGCTGTCAGCACAGAGCCTGACTTGGGGCTTGAACCCACGAACTGAAATCATGACCTGAGCTGAAGTTGGATGCTTAATCGACTGAGCTGCCTAGGCGCCCCCCAAGGTAACATTTTTAAAGCAATTTTATCATCAGCTTGATTAAAAGTAAGCAGTATAGATTTTTTT